GCCGCAGCTCTGACATGGTAGGACGGTATTCTCTGACAAATTGCTTCAGATCAGTCTCCCACTTAGCAAGATTATCCTTAGGATTGCAAACGTGGCTCATTGCTTCGGCCACGTCGGTATCGGACCAGGGTCTGAACACCAACATCGTTCCCTGTGCACCCGCCACTTCTACCATTGGAAAAGATGCTTCAGGATCAGACAATGCCTCCTGTTTTCCTCTTAGCAAGGCCCGCCTTTGTTGAGCCTGCGAGCGGGTCATAGTAGGTGAAAAGGTCGTCTGGCTGGTGTTGGAGGTTGAATCTGGCTTCCCTCCTGGTGGGCTGTTGTCAAACCGAGGAAGGTTTGCTTGTGCTGCTTCTTGCTGAGGAGACTGCGAGCTCGTGAAGGCTGGAGCTGGAGTAGCAGTGAGGGGAGGGGGGGAGTCCAGATCCGTGTCCACCAATCTCCTCAGGAACTCATAAAAACAAGGATAAAGTGTTTTTGGGTTAGAAGGGGTACACATTTCAAAACTTTTTGTAGGATCTTCGGTCTTTAATGAATTAAATGCTACCAACCTCTGTCTCTCCCTTCTCTCCGACTCATACTTCCACATCTTGAAAGCTTCCCAATCTGCCTTACATACCACATTCTTCTTCTGCTTTCTTCCCGACAGGCCTGCATGCTGAGCTGCATCGTTCTTCTCCTTTTCCCTCAGTTGCAATTCCAACTGTTCCAATTGATTCTCACTCAAACTCCCTTTTGAAGGAAACCCCAATTCAACCCATTTCTGTATTTGATTCAAACTGCCAGGATAACGCTCTGACATAAATTTACACAATAGTGGCAGGATATTAGTCTCATGGTTATCACCCGTCTCCCCTTTACTCTGAACACTACCCATTTAGTTATCTGTATCTGTATACCTGGAATGTGCGCGCCTATAAAGGTGCATACAAACAAAGAAATACCACATGCATAACTAAGGCAAGTCAGTTGACCGTTGCTTTCTCTGGTCACTCAGTCTACTGCACTGATCCAAAGTCGCGCCTGTGAACTTCAGACACAGGATGTTGCAACTTTGTGACGAATACTACAGGTGACCCAGACACGTCTGTCTACAACACACTCGTTGTGAGATAGGCCTAAAACTCTTTTGTCAATGACTCTGTCTGCCTTAAAATAATTTTGATCTCTCACCGCGTGTTCTTCGTTTCTTTTCCTTGAACTGGATGGATCGGTAATCCGGGTCTCGTCGGGACGGCAGCTTCTCACCCTCAGGGAGGAATCACCTATACTATATGGCCTCCTGTCCGTCCGTCAGAGTCCAGATCACGCGTCGATCCCATCCTCGTCGCCAAGTTTGTGGTGGAAATTTGTGGATTAAGCCCATGTGAGAAATCAAAAGTATCTTGAGCTTGGTTTGTGATTAAGTATTTATTACTAACTAGAATATAGAAAAATGATAAAGAATACAGAAATCATCAGCACAAGCCGTAAGCACAGACAGAAGTCAAATGACTACAATTCAGCTGAAAAGGGACAGAAAGTTCCTTCCCCCAAAAGGAGCAGGAAGATCTGACAAAGTTTCTGGGGGGAACCAGGAGCTTTTATACATCACTGAAGGTCCGAGGAATGGTAACCAGATGTTGTTTCGGGAACCTCCGCGACACTCCCTTAGTGGGACCAAATCAATCATTTAGACAGAGAGGAAAACAGAGGAGAAAGGTAAATAGAAGAACATGATATGGTCTGTCCAAGCCACATATGGATTTCATCGTAGACTAGGTCAGGTCACGAGTTTCCCAAGAAAGGTCACATACAAGTTCTTGAGACTCTCACAACATGCACCTCAACAAATTCTCCCCCGACATTAGCCATAGTAGTATTTGTAATAACATCAGTAGTAGTTGTAGTATTAATAGCAGTAGAAATACTAGTAGTATGGTAGTAGAAGTATCAGTTGTAGTACTAGAAGTACGAGTAATATTCGTAGTGGGAGACATAATGTTTGTTATTCAAACTAAGAAGTTTTTAATTAATAGGCCTCATCACAAACATTACAGTAAAAATTCCCTCCATGGGGCTTTTGTTTTGAAATTATTGGATTGGGTGGGGTGGGGGGGTGTAGATAGAGGGAGGGAGGGTGAGAGGGTGAGGAAGGGAGGGGTGGTGAGGAAGAGATAGAGGGAGAGAGAGAGGAGGAGAAATAGACAGACTGACTGACTGAGAGTGATTAACAGTGAGAAGAGGTCAGGGTGGAGGGGGGGGCGAGTGTCCTTATCATATTGGTCTGTTGACAGAAAGCATAGCTGCGTCATGTGACTCCACTAATCAGGTCATAGGAGCAGCTGTGAGTCACAGACAGAGATCCTGCAGCGTGTGAGCGAGTAACCACGGCAACGACGCACCTGTGCTCATTAACGAGCTGCTGCAAAGGGCAGAGACAGGACAGCGAGTTACACAGAATCCACACCTCAAACAAATGACATTCAGCGCAAAACTATAACAGCTATCTAAAAAATACGGTGTTTTGACGAGACCCAAGACTCTTCCGAACGCATGGATGTGCTTTTTATGTCTGTCCGGTAATAAATTATTGGCCGTTGACAAAACGTGTACCTTCTGGATTTTTGTGAGAAATATGTGGGCAGATTTGTATTGGAGCCTATGGGGCTTTTGGCAGAGGTTGTGTCACTTTAACACTCCTTACGACAAAACTAAAGAACTCTGGGATTCTATGAACACATTAATCCAATCAGCACAACCATGCCCTCATTAATCTGAAGAAATGAAGCCTCTAGAATGTATACTTTGGCTGCGAGGACAGAAGTTCCATATTTTTTTAAGCAGATTCTGGCGCTGCCTCACACTCTAGCCCTCGAGGTCCCCACTCTAGCAGACGCAATACACACTCATGTAAAAGTCAGAAACGGAGCGAAGAATTAGTGAAACATAATCAGTGATTATGAAAAAAGTACAATAGATATCAAGAAGCAGTTTTTTTAATAAAATAGTTAAGACTTGTGTCAACATTTGAAAGTTTAAATGGTGTCTGTAGCTGAAAGATTTGCGAAGCTGAAAAATCTGAAAGTTGAAGAAGTTTAGGAGGATTTGAAAACAAACTCCATTTGAAAAACATGTTAAAATATTAATGATTATTGATTTATATAAATTCAAGCATAAGAGGTAGAAAGCTGAAAAGTCATAGCCCTCAAGCCAGAAAGGAGGTGAACATTTTAATATTTGAACGGTTTTAATAGCTGAAAGTGTGAAGGAGTTGAAAGGTGCCGCGGAAGAAATAGAAGAAGGAGAAGTTGAAGATGAAGAAATAAAGATTCGAAGAACAATACTTGGAATGCATCGTTAATGCATTCCAACAATGACTGATTCATTAAACTCATATTACACATTTTTAAAGCTCTTAATCGCATTACATTTAAGGGCATGTTTTTCGTAAATACAAAGTGACATTTAAAAGAACTTGTGTGCCAATTCATGAACACGCTATCTTTGTAGACCATACCTGCATGGCTCCAGCAGTTTCTCTAGCTTTGCCAACTTCTCATATTCAGCATTTGTTGGGAGGGCCAGATTGTGCTTCTGCTGAGACAGCGTTGTGTGCAGTGCGTCTCTGTTGCGCCTCACGCGGCTGATCATCTCAAGGGTGGAATTCCACCGTGTTGGAACATCTGGCACGAGTGGCTCCTGAACTTGTCCAAGGGAAGCTTGCTGGACATTCAGCTCGTCTGAGTTGGCCGGACTGTGTTTGAAATGTCCGACCACTTTTCGGCACTTGGCCAGCGCACCATCAAAACCACCTTCCCGAAGTGACATTACAATAGCTCTCTGTACAACATGCGCAACACAGGGCAAATGCTCGAATGGCAGTATTCTCCCTGCTGCCACATATTAGGAGCGCTGTCTGTTCCAATAGTGCTAATTTTGTCAGCTATCCCCCACTGATCGAGAACCTGCCTGGCACACGCTTCTGCAAAGTGACGCTCCTCTGTTTTCATCACACCTAATGGACAGATAAAGTAGATCAGAATGATGTAATTCAAAATGACATAATGTAGCTTACCTAAAGCGAAGGAGTGAAGTTCCCAGCTGGCATTGATAAGGTGTACAGTAACGCCGAGGTAGTTATCGTTGTTGACAGATGTCCAATAGTCCCCAGTCAGTGCTACACACCTCGCCTCTACCATCTTCTCATCTTTTGCGGCTTTCTCTGCGGCGTGCTGGTCATGTATTCTCCTCAAGATAGTTCGCCTAGCAGGTAGTTTGTAAGATGGATCACCTGTGGCCGCCTGAAGAACAAGCTCGAGCCTGTCATCTTCTACCACGCTGATGGCAATTCACTGAGCGAGGAGATTCGTTAGCTTGGCCGATAGAGCTGTGCTGACGGGCTTGCCTCGGTTGCACTCAAACAGTAGTTTGACGACGACTCTTCCCCTGCGCTACATCAGTGCTTGGCCCGGCATCTTCCGCGTTAGCTAAGCGATGCTTTGCGTTTAGGTGGTATTTGAGACTTGAAGAACTTCTACAGTAAACTAATTCCTGTTTGCACAAGGTGCAAACAACCTTCGTCTTGTCGAGGTTTATCGGCGCTATTTTTTCTTTATCGCCGTTAAGAGTCTCACCATAACGCAGCACGTTACCGCCGATAACGGCCCACCACTATTTACAACACATTGATACTTGGTTTGTTCCTTCAGAGGGTTTGTTTAAAGGTGATGAGGTAGTTTATGAATATGATATAGGAGCCTATAATGATCACAATCCCTCCTCTCTGTAGTGGAGGTGAGTTTATGAGTGCCTCTGGTCCTCTTCTTCCCTTTTCTCAGTTACTTTAGTTAAGTAAAAATCGTTGTCCTCGAAGCTTCGCCCCCCTGAGGATCGCCATAAACTGTCTATGGGATAATTAGCGAGAGGATGCTAATGTTAGCTTGACTTGTGTATAAAATAAATGTTGGTTCTTCAGAGGAGCTTTAGAGCTGATAATGACTGTTTGTCTCCTGTAGAAACTGGCCTTCATGGTGTCTCTAGGCCTTGTGACACACGACCACCTGGAAGGTGAGTCCTCGCCTCCTCCTCCTCCACCTCTTATAGGTCCACTGTCTTTTCACTCTGTGTGTTTCTTTATTCAGAGATTCAAAGCAAAAGACAGGAACGCAAGAGGAGAACGACAGCCAACCCAGTGTACAGCGGCGCCGTGTTCGAGCCTGAGGTACAGGGAGTGCTCTCGGCATCCTTATGAAAGAAAACATTTTTGTTTTGGAAATCTAGTTACTTTCTTCCTTTTACATATTCCATATTAATTTATGATTTATATATTATATTCACAACCACACCGCATCAGAAAAAGCTTCATGTTCTTTTATACGTAATGCTCAGGTGTGCTTACAGATGTCTAACAGGTGTCCTCCTCTGCTGTGTCTCTTCTCGGGACTCATTGTGTTTGTTGGTGTTTCAGAGGAAAAAGAGTGCAGTGAGCTACCTGAACAGCCCTCTGCACCAGGGGACCAGGAAGAGAGGTCCGTATGACACACTGGCCAGTAGAGAGTCTCCCGGTGCGCCCTACTAACACGTCCTCCCTCCTCTTTCTGCTTCCTGTCTCCTCACTCAGCCAGAGTTCTTCTTATTTCTCACCAACCTTAGAAATGTGAAAGAGATGTGAGGTTTCATCTTGGCGACCATAAACCCTGCAGCAGCAGATTCATCCTTACAATCTTTAATCTTTTACAGACAGACTTAATAATACCATAAGAATGAATTGGTCAAACCTCATCTTCTATTGATCACCTGATCAGTTGATCAGGTGATCAATAGCTGCTTTTGATGTGAATGAAGGCATCAGTCTAATATTTTGCATGAGTGATATTTTTAAATCTGCAATGCTCAGATTGTTCACACACATAAACTGAGTGACTCTGGAGTAACGCCAATAGGAATCAGCTTTTATTACTTCTAAAAAAGTATTAAACTTCATAGAATTCATTTCATTCATTTCTTAATTTTTCTCTTTTTTTAATTCTTTCTACATATCCTCCATTCAACTTCTTACTTTACCAGCAAAATTAAATCACGTGTCACATTTGATCACGTTAGTCATTTTATGACAACCGTCTAGGCTTTGTTTAAAGAGCAGCAGCTAGCTGGTAGCACTATTGATGGACTAGCTAACTAGTCATGGCTAGTGATGACTAGTTGGCTAACTAGAAATGTCGAGCTGCTGCATTCTGGATGAACTGCAGAGGAAGTATTCTCTGGATGTTGTAGAGCGTGTATCTACATGATCGTGTTGTCGCAGTGATGTTGGGAGTCAGGGAGAGTTGGCTGTCGAGTGTGACGTCGAGGTTCCTACCGGTTAAAGTGGGCGTTAGCATGGAGTTGCCAAAGTTGACTGTCAGGTCCTGGGTCGGAGAGTCTTTTCCTGGAAAGAGAAGTAGTTCAGTCTTGTTGGGGTTGATTTTCAGATGGTGGGCGGACATCCACTGAGAGATGTCATTCAGACAGGCAGAGATCCGAGCCGCCACCTGGGTGTCCGAGTGACGGAAGGAGAGGATTAGTTGGGTGTCATCGGCATGGCTGTGGTAGGAGAAGCCTAGTGTCGAGTTAGCTAACAAGCCATGTCTAGTGATGGACTAGCTGGTTCGCTTTGGTGACAGCTTATCAAAACTTGTGGAGCCGGTCATGCAACTGAGGCACGTTAACATCTGACACAAAGCTCCATAGACGTCTAAGTTGTACTTGTGCTCTGGCCTCAGCTTGCACGAAGCCAGTCTCATGCACTAACACTGCTATCTGTGCTTCTGACTCCTCCTTCTCCCTTTATCGCCCCTCCACCCACACTCCCCCCGTCTCACGCTAGCCAATGAAGACTCCCTTTCCAAGGTATGTTATACAGACTGTTTGTTTTGGTTTTCTTCCCCCCCTCTCCATCTTTCTTTTTTTCTTTGTTTTCCGTCTTTGTTGTCTGTCTCATTTCACCCAGGTCGCCCACCCAAATACAGCAGCGTCCCGGAGCTGGGCTGCCTCACCCCGACCTCCCCCTCCAGCCCCGTCCGTCCCCTCCCCCTGCCCAGCCCCAGCTCTGGGGATGTAAGTAACGATGGAAGAGACGGGCAGAACACCCAGTCCTTATTGGCCCGGTAGCTGTTGCCCCCCCCCCCTAATCCCTCCTGAGACCTCCACCAACACTTCATTAGTCTGTTGTCTTCATGTGGTAACCATCAGTCGTCATTATATTTTTTACTTTCAGCCTTACAAAGTGAACAGTGTCCTGTAGCCCAGAGCATCCATTAACTACTACCTACACATTCTAACTCAAAGATATCAAGTACTCTTCCTGTGGGCCCTGTAACCTCACACACCATCTCCATTAGGTATTAAAAACCAGGCCAACTGTAAACTCAGCCCAACCAGATCACAGTGCCTCCCCCTGCCTCACCACAGGCCTTAGTTGTGCGGCTGGAAACTGATTGGTCCAACTCTTCCTCACAGGGAGACATCCATGAGGATTTCTGCACTGTGTGCAGACGCAGTGGCCAGTTGCTCATGTGCGACACGTGTTCTCGTGTTTATCACCTGGAGTGCCTGGATCCGCCCCTGAAAACCATTCCTAAAGGCATGTGGATCTGTCCAAAATGTCATGATCAGGTAACCACAGCAGCCGTGACTGATCCTGTGAAAGGGGAAAGTGGGTACCGCAGTGCGGAGAAGGGCCAATCAGAGCCAGTAGATTGTTGACTGTAGAAATCTGCTTCTGCTGACCGGCCTTCTGCCACACTGTCCTAGACTTTAGGACCGTTCAAGTCTTTGTAAGCATACACATGATGCAGTATGTTTTTTTTGTGCATCCGTGCCATTCATTGTCAGCAAGGATTGGCATCTTACATCCATCCACTCCATTGCTTGTCCCCCTTCTCGGTCCCACCACAGGGATGTGGTCACTTAACTTGACTCCCTCAAAGTCTCTGCCTCTTTGACAACTCTTCTCTTTGCAGATCCTGAAGAAAGAAGAAGCCATTCCATGGCCTGGTACTTTGGCTATTGTTCATTCCTACATCGCCTACAAAGAAGGTGACGTCAGGTTCAATCTCCCAGGAACGTCCGGTCCCGAGGCACTCAGCGGGAAAAATTAACCTTCAGTTTTCTGTTTCTGCTGCAGCTAAAGAGGAGGAGAAACAGAAGCTGATTAAATGGAGCGCTGAACTGAAGCTAGAGCGAGAGCAGCTGGAACAGAGAGTCAAGCAGCTCAGCAACTCTGTAACAGTAAGAAACAACAGCAACTCTGTCAAGATATGAGTACAAAGAAAACAATTCATTAATCATTTTGAAATTCATTAATTGCAATTAAAAGTTTGTTTGTCTTCTAAGGACTAAATCTTATAAATTAATACGTAATCACTTTAGAAAGCGTGTATTTTAGACACTGTTATTTATTTGTATTTTAAACACAAACGCCACACATCTTGGAGGTGGAACATGTTGAACTAGTGACTCTTCCGGTTGTCCTCGTGCACTTTGCCCTCAACTCTCCATCAGTTGACGTCATTCAAGTGAAAACGATGGCCCCACATTTAGCCAGGACGTTTCCAAACCATTGTCTTTTAGGGACACAGTGGTGGTCCTCTGCAGGGGAGATGAAATGGAAGTAGCCTAGCAGCTACCTACCTATGTTCTGGGTACTATTAGTCCTAAAGTGGTTTGTTTACGTCTGATCCTCATCTGACCCTGTTGTCATCTTTCATCAGAAATGCATAGAGACCAAAAACAGCATCCTGGCCCGTCAGAAAGACATGCATCTCTCCCTGGAGAAGGTCAAGCACCTGATCCGCCTCATCCAAACCTTCAACTTCAACCGAGCTTCGGAAGAGACAGAGGTCAAGGAGGTCGGCGCCAGAGGCCGGGACAGTGCTGAGGGTCCGGCTTTCAGCTGCAGAGCCGCGCTAGGGGCCGATTACGCAGAGAAGGCAAAGGCTGGAAGTCATGCGACTGGCGGGGGACACCGACGGGGTCAACGCACCGGAGGACAAGGACCCCACAATGGGTGCACAGGACACCGACAGAACGGCGGTCCAAAAAGACCACGCAGTCCCGGCGGCAAATAAGAGCCCTGACAAAGGGGCGGAGGCAAAGGCAAAGCCTGTTGACGGGGCTGCAGAAACTACCATCCAGGCGAAGGTGGCGGCTGGACCGGAGGCCGTGGCGGCTCCGGTGGTTGACATTGTCGTTCCCCCCGCCAATGCCACCAATTCTGAGAAGAAGATGGCTGCCGCCAACCTTCTGGAGACGGCGGTAGAGAAGCAGGAGGATATCACTGACGGTGACGGCAGCAACAACAATAACAGCAGAACCTCAGAACCCTCCCAGCATTCTTTGCCAGCTCTTGTCAGCAATTTGGATGACAAAAAGTGATCCCGCCGCCCCCCCCCCCCCTTCCCTGCTGGATTCAGAAACACATCTAAAAAAGAAGACTTTTGCTTGCATCGTACGGTGTCCTGAAGTTGCCAATCTGTATAAATGTTGTTTGTTTGCATTGTATTGTCAGAATGTGTCAATGGTAGATGTACAGCCCATCTCACATGACACTGGGCGAGGTGCCTCCACCCCTCCCCCCCGCCACACAGAGCTGGGGTACAGGAAGGCTTTTACACCAGGGCCATCATGCCAATTAGTGATAGACGTCTTTGGTGGGAATGCTCAAAGGAAGATTTAGTTCACCATCACACCAGTGTGTGCCTGTGTTCTCTTGTGTGTGGTGGGGAGGGGGGCACATGGGATCAGAGAACATTGAACCAAACCTCTGTCAGGGTTGCTGGTCTATAAAGCAGTGTTGAGATAGTGTGAGTGCTGAAAAGAGAGCCTGTGTGTCCCCTTGTCCCAATGAACTTAATGTGAACAACCTTCATCCTCTGCTCTTGTTAGCGCACGCCAAACAAAAAGAGCTGAACCGGTTAGACCCCTGAATTAAAGACCGGGTCCTACCTTCTTTGGACCTCCACGCCCCCCAACCCAATGGACCAACAAGCGTAGAACTTCCCTACCAACAATCCAACCTCGCCCCCCCACACCACCCTTCTCTGCATCCAAAGTGCTGTTTGAATATGTCTATTAGTTTAAGTCTTGTTTGTTTAAGACGTATCCAATCTTTTTAAACCTAGTTTTGTCGAGAAAGAAAACAAAAGTGATAATGAGGTGGTCAAAACGACATCCTGTCCACAATCCAAACCGACCTTCTCCCGTCCGCTGAGGATCGAAAGCAAATACACAGGCGGCGATGAGTTCGGTTTAAAGTCCCGAACTTTCAAATAAATCTATGAGTACAAACAAACTTAATTTGACCTTGAGATTAAAACCCAAACGTATGATTCCAGTACACCAAGAACTCTGGAACTAGCCCTCAGTCAAGAAGACAAATGAGACCAAATGTTCCCAACATAACAACAATCCCAGCTAACACCTCAAGGCAGAAAAAGGTCCCTGGAGGACGAGGCTTCACGGATGTTTTTCCAGTGCTGTCAGTTTTTTTCATTTGTGAGTCAAGTGTGTTGATTGTGAGCACTAAATGTGAAAGATTTGCAATATTGCAATGTCAACAAAACACACAGACCATGTATGTTCTGTGTGTTTTGTAGTAAAAGATAGAATAAGTGCTTTCTGTTCCTGTTCCTGAACCATGGCATTATCAAAAACACACGGAAGAAATTCCTTTTTCTCTTAACCGGTGAGCCTTTGCATTGTGAACATTAATGTTGAATCCCAAACCGCCAAAAAAACGACAAATATATCCGTACCTGTTTTTCTGCTTTACGCCGTCAAAGGAGATATGATCATCTGTGTATGTCACTCCCTCCAGGAAATACACAAGACCACGAATCGTACTGATGGTTTTATTCCGCTTGTCCACGCCGGCATCCACCGTCAAACTAAACACACGTCACACGGCTATTAGCTAACATAACAAAATTGTATCGAACAGAAATGACAAGACATTAAACAAACGTACCTCACTGGCTGCACACGATCGAGAGGGAATGATAACACTTGAGCTGAGGAACTACCTTGTGAGACCTACATCTTAACATTATTACAACACACACCTGAGACCTTACTTTCTTCGCATGCTTCTTGGCTGTGCGACACCAAAACATGTCCCACCGAAACCAACCCAGCAAACATAGTTCTCCCAAACCAAACAAACAAATATTCCTGAGAACAACCCACAAACAAATAAACATGTGCATCAGGACATCATACAAATGACACAAAATACATTCACGGCAGTTAAAGTGTAAATATATAGGGGAGATCCTCCTCTTCACCACAAACATCCTGACATGAAAGCACAAGATCACCGCTGCCGAGCTTCTTTTGTACGTTGATATGGAATCAAACAGAGTATGCGACTTCCGTGTCGTGATGTGACTTATCACCACATCGCCAATATTTTAATTGGAGGAGACCCAGACCTACGGGGAGGGCTGTTGGTGTGCCATTTTTGTTCTGGTGGGCTGAGACTTCTGGTCTTTAACAAACTGTTTTTTGTTCTGTCTTTCCTTTATGTTGAAGTCGTCCCAAAAGCGTCCCCCCCTCCCGCCAACCATGCTATGCGAGCAGCGTTGAAATATCTCAAACAACAATTGGATAGATTATAGTGAAAGTTACTAAAGATATCAAAATCTTTGTTGGCATTTCTCCTCCGGGTGGGTTAGCATTCTGCTATTAGCATGTAGCTGAGCTGTTAGCATGGCTATAGACTCATGGAGCATTACTGAGAAGGGGTGAGTATGTGGTTAGTGACCTTGAAGTTTTTTCCGTCTGTTTTCTACGTATCGTCATGGACTCGTCATATCTGACCTAAGATCAGCTGTACAAACTGCCTTCATTCTGCAGAACGTTCCCACACGTTTTTTAATCCAATAAATGTTCTGGACCGAACAGTCCACAACCAGAACACGTCCCCCATGGGTCCCATTCATTGCCCCCCCCTTCCTCTGTACAGGAGGTACCTTGAGTGCCTTTCTTTAGACAGCAGATAGTATTTTGTCTCTTGACTTGCACTGTGACTTGGAGAAACCTTACTAACCCTCCAGAACCCCCCCCCCCCCGCTCTATTCTGTCCCAAGACCCACTGACCCCCCTGACCTCTGGCTGCCCACAGTCCATGCAGGTAGGAACTACATTTCGTCTTGCATCGCCAGTGCAACCACATCGTCTTTGTCAGCATCAATTTTAGGAATTTGAGCCTTAAATGTTTTTATTTCTTTTTTTTTTATTCCCAATTTTACTTTTCAAAAGATAAAAAAGAATCCCTGCAAAGGTCAGAGGTTGTGGTAGTCGATGAGATGGTCCAAAGAGGGAGGAGGAGGAGGAAGAAATCTTGGCTCGGTGATAGATGTTTGGTCACTTTTGGTTTGACCAGTATTATTGTTATGATTATTATTAATATCAGAGTGTTGGTCCGGACTCTTTGACTCCCTCTGTGCCATGCTGCTGCTGCTGCTTCTTCTTTCTAATAAACTCTGCTAGCTTTGCTCCTGTGAACAACCAGACCGACTTGGACCCTTGAGCAGTAAGCTGGATGGCATGCCTTCTTATGCAAAACTTTTATAATACACTTTTTAAAAATACTTTATTTTGTTCTTTAAACTTGAGTCACCTTTTTTTTACTTTCTTACAAAATCTTGGTTGGAAATATTTTTTTCCTGACTTAACGCTCCGAGCCAGATGTTCAGGGGCAGAAACGTCTTAAAATCATGTCCGAAGTGATCCGAAGAACACAGCCAGTTCTGGAGAGGCTTTTGCATGAGGTTAGGAGGTAGAGTTCTACGTCTGGGACGATTCTTTGCTCCTCAGGAGCTCTGCGTCAGGTCCTGGGGGGGGTCTCGTGGGCGTGAAGATGAAATAGTGTTCTGTCGAGACATTACGTCATCCATCCTCCCTGGATTCAGATATTCACCCGAAGCTTCTTTACCTCATCCAGGCTAATTTTGTCAGGGGGGGTGCAGAAAAAAAAAGAAGTGTTTTTTTAATCTTCCATTCAGTGAGATGCATTGTAGCGATATGAATAAAGAAATAGTTCACCTGGTGTGCTGAATAAGGTGTAAGTTGGGAATTACACAATCTAAATATTTGTATAATTGTTTGTATTTTTTCATAATTATTTTAGAAAGCAATGTGTTTATTTTTTTTGACTTGTGTTCTGGATGTGTCTTCTGTTTAACCTGTCATTGTGACTGGTCTTGTGGGATTCTTACCTCTGTATTGAGCCTCTTCTGGGATGAATTATTTGTATGCAGTGTTTAGGAAATACTATAGGGAACATGGGGGAGGAGTTGATATTAGGAGCATTTGATCAATTTGTATTTATTTATTTTATCATTTTGTTAATAAATTGTGAAAAGCAGCGCGTCCCTTCTGTCGACATTTTGTTTGATAGATATTAAATCGGGCATTAACTTCAACATTAATATGAAAGACTCATTCTAAAGTAATGGAAACACAACCTCCCAGCGGATTATTCACGGAAGAACATATATTCATGTATACAGTATATACATATGTGTGGCGCACCGAAAGCGTGCTGGGCCCATGATCTCCGTTACCCCTTTTCCACCAACAAGAACCAGGTGCTGGTTCGGAGCCAGAGCTAGAGCCGGTTCGGAGTTGGTTCAACTGACGAGCCTCCAAAGAACCGGTTTGCTTTTCCACAGGTTGAAGAGCCAGCGCAGAGCCAAGTCCTACGTCACAGTTACGTCTCATCTTTCCCAGCAACGTTAGCTCAGCGGCGCCAAACACAAACACATCATCAACAATGGTGGACGTTGCTTTGCTATTGATGTTCATGGCTTTGGGGACCTACATCGACATCCAAACACAGCGGATCAAACATGTTTGCGCGGCTCGCCTTTATTCGTACACGCGGAGATTACAAGCGAGAGTACCAGTATGTACAACATTTATTTTTAACAATAAGATGCCGACTATAGCCTGAGATTCATATTTAGCCGTAGCATGTTGCTAACCTCCTAACATCGACTTTGCTGATAATCGATCGCATTGCAGTTAAAAAAAATGTATTAAGCATTGGTTGAATAAGTATAACGATGCCATTTTTGTGAACACTTGTATTTATTACATTACATGTCATTTAGCTGACGCTTTTATCCAAAGCGACTTACACTAAGTGCATTCAACCATAGGGTACAAACTCAGAAGAACAAGAAACAAGAAAGTGCAATTTCCTCAAATAAGCCAATTTACAATTTGCTATAGATGAGTGGCGTTATAAGTACAATTTAAGTGCTACAATTTGTTAGTCTTTTAGTCGAGGTAGAGTCTGAAGAGGTGTGTCTTTAGTTTGCGGCGGAAGATGTGAAGGCTCTCTGCGGTCCTGGTGTCTTCAGAGAGCTCGTTCCACCATTTCGGAGCAAGGACATGTATGTCTGAGTCATAGGCAAAAACCACTCACAGTATTAAAAATAGAAAATCTGCAAACACGTGACCAGTAAGTTGTCTGAAAAACACAATGCATGAACCTAAAAAGACTGAAAAAAACCTTATAAATAAAGTTGATAGAAAATATACCTATATCCTTTTGCCCATAGATGAAACGTATGTATTTTTTTTTTCTTTACAGGCAATCTTGCAGCTCAAGGCAAGACGGAGGTCACCGGTAATTTGGGCATACCCACGATCTGACCACTGGTGTGACACAATTGTTCCAGGTTTCACCCCATTACAACTCATGCATAATTTCCCTGTATCCCCAGGATCATTTGAATACATCTGCTGTCAGGTCAAGCATGCCATGGGGAGAAGAAACACAAACTACCATTTGTGTGTCCCAATCCGAAAGTGTGTGGCTATTGCCATCTGGAAACTGGCCACGGGTGTTGAATACAGGACAATTAGCCATCTTTTTGGAGTAGGCCTCAGCACTGTTTTTAATTGTGTTCAGGAATTCTGCAACACAGTCATCATAGTGCTCCTTCCCATCCACATAAGATTTCCTGATGCTGAAAAGTTGCTAGAAATGGCCACTTTCTTTAATAATCGTTGGAGAATTCCACAGTGTGTGGGTGCAATTGATGGCAGCCACATTCCAGTAATTGCACCAGAGGACTATCCACGAGACTATTTCAATCGTAAAGGCTGGCATTCTATTGTTCTGCAAGCAGTTGTGGATGGCAAAGGTCTATTCTAGGATGTTTGTGTTGGCTATCCAGGGAGTGTGCATGACGCCAGAGTGCTACGACAGTCACATTTGTGGGAGGCCTTAAGTAACGGGGAATTAGGGGGTGGTGGCACAGGTCTACTCATTTCACCCAAATGGAGCTTTTCTCTCTACCCTCTACCACCATCCACCCCATTGTCCTTTGAATTCCATGCTGTAACAGTCACTCACCCGGTACAATTAACCATCGTTGTCCTCTACCGTCCGCCAGGCTCCTTAGGTCATTTCTTGGAAGAACTGGACATTCTCCTGTAAGAATACGTGTTCAAGATTTGGAGCCTGGTCGGGGTTATCAAAAATTCAGCCGAATAACTTCTCTCGTTCTGGGAAATTTATTTGTCAGATCACAGGTCAAGTATCAGCGCTGCGTTTGCAAAGGCAGGAGCAGTTCAGGCAGCACACAGGCCGGAAGAACAACTAACTAACATCAGCAAGAACATCATGTTTTATAACCCTTGAAAGACAGAGAAGGAAATATTTCTATTGGCCCTAAACTGGCGTAGAGGAGGACCTTCCACCTCCCGCATCTAAGATCCGGTCACATCCAATGTCCAGACTCCTGACTTAACGTAAACATCGTAAACAGAGTGTGTATGTTGAATAGTGTTGGTGTGTCTCTAACCCCCCTTTGGCTGGTAAATCTTCTAGTTGACCCGCAGACTTTACATTCCTCAGCCAGGACACAAACTGACTCCCCATCCTGTCAGACTCGTGTCTGCCTGCTCGGCAGATCCTGCCTCCCCCCTTACTTAACTCTTAAATCAAGACAAGACAGCAAACCCCCAACTAAGCCCATGAAAAGAACTTTTGATTATCAATTCCCCCTTTTTACATAATTCATTATGTAAACCAAAAAAAATCAAAAGAAACCACCAATCTAAACGCTAAATATCTATATCAGTGAATACGGGTGAATGCAGCAGTCATGGAAATCCCTAAACAGTACAAAAAACCTAAACCGAGTATAATAGACACAGAATACATCCTAGCCTAGAAATATCACACCATCTACGTGTATGCATCCACTATATATGATGTGTGCAACAGTTAGCAGATCACGCGGACAGGAATGTTGAACTTAAAAGGATTTCTTCTTCAGGTCCCTCGAAGTCGGTTCTTACCATACCTATCTCCTCCGGCCCTAACAATTGGATCCTTTCATGTAACAAAGCCATCTGGTATGGCAGGGGTATTTTAGCATCTATTGCAGAGGTGATGCATCGGAGACATAGTTGTCTGATACAGGGGATGCAGCAGCATCCACAAAGGGCAAAAACCACTATTGCGATTACTAAGGTCAGAAAAACTGACAGGAAGAAGCCCTTCCACTGTCCAAAGTATTTATCAAACCAATTACCGACGGTGCCGTCTATACCAGAGTGTTCAGCTAATTCAACAGACATGGCTCTGAGTCCGTGTAATGCTCTAGTAAAGGATCCATCTGGGGCGGTGTTATTGGGGATAAAAGTGCAGCACGCTTGGCCAAACATCGCACACACTCCTCCTTTTTCAGCTAATAACATATCCAAAGCCATCCGGTTCTGGTAAGTCATCAATGAGGTGGCCGATAGTTGGCTGTGCACCCCTTCCAGAGCATCTCTCGTCATATTGGTGAGCCGCTGGATATTGAAATGTACATAATTTAGTCGGTCCACATTTTTGTTTACAGTTATAAAAGGGAACAATGATTCCCATCCGGCCGCTATCTGATCCGTTAACTTGTATTGATCAGGTACCCCTCTCGGCACCCCAATAGCATCGAAATAAACAGGGGATCCTTCTGTTAAGCTAAATTCTCTTTTACTGCGACTGAATGAATTACGCCTTTTTGCCTCATTGCTCAATGTTTCAGCGGTTATTGGAACTATTTTCAGCGGAACGATGAGGGAAACTGAGGTGCATTTCCCCATCCACTCAGCTGACAGTACATTAAGTAATCTGCTACCGCCGCAGTACCAGTAGATATCAGAGCGGGCCTGGGTCAATTTGGTCATATTTGTCCAGGTGGTTACATCAAATGTCACATTGCACCATGAATCGGTTAAGGAACCTACGTTCAGTCCCCCATTAAGATGCTTAGTGAAACAGGTATAATCGCCACTTATGGGAGTGAACATGGGAGGGATTGCTTGTGGTTGTGATCCTGGAAAAATAGTTACCCACGACTTGCAACCTTCACTTGGATTCTCTTTAGTATGTAATTCTATCAGGCAGTCAATGTTACCGGCCTGGCTAAGGACCGAGGGCACTGTCCATAGGCTGGGTCTTGCACCTGCACAGGCCACACAGTCAGCTGAGTCCATTTGCTGGGACGCAGTTGTGATCCAATCCACCCAGTAATTTGTCTGGGAGAACCCCGTCTCTGCGGAAAGTTTGTCGTGGATCACAGCTAGATCTTTTGCTATATTTTGGCCCTTGGGGTTCTCAGTGACTTCTTCAGCCTCAGCAGTAGTGGGTTTCCCCTCAATGTCAGGTGACACGTATTTAAACCTAATCAAAGCCAATGGATCTTTATCGGCTACATCCACTCCTATAACCATGTACCACTGAGTAGGATCACTCTTCTCATGACTCATACCGTAATAGGTGCCCACTGCTCTTGGAGCAAATGGTGACTCTGCTAATCCGGTCACAGAAATCATTAAAGGATTGTGCCCCTTATCCCGAGCCCCCGATTGATCTCGAATCAGTGTAATGGATTTTTGTAAATCCACCCCCGGAGTTCTACTACCCCACTGTCTCTTGAAAGAAGGCGATGTGTAACCATATGGGCCTGTGTTCCATCCTACCATGTCCCAGGATGTACACCAATGTTTTATGAGCCTCCCCCAGGGGAACAGACACATGTAAACATCATATCCCCTCCACTTCTGTTCATTTGGTCCACATCCTATCAGTGAGCACAGATCTACTCGGAACACTTGGGTTCTGTAGGTTTTATTCAGTTCTAATGTCACGACACCGTCCACCTTGCGGTGTGTACCCACTGCTCTAACCCTCCGCTGGAGTCCCCTGCTATTTTGGTCTTCTGCTTCTACCTGAGACGTGGTCAGATTGTTAACATTCTGGTCTAAGTTCGTCAGCTGTAATTCCCACCAGAGAAAAGGCAGAAACACTATCAGAGTAATGAAAAGGAGTACTAATCCTATGTTAGCCCCAGTACATCCTAGAGGAGTTCTCATGATTTCAGAGCTTGATCAACTTTTAGAATGCAAGATACTTTTATTGAGATGTAGATTACTTTTACTGCACTGATTGTTAAGAGATGCTTTCTTCCACCTCAAGGGATTAATTCCTTATGGGGAGCCTGATAACGACTCCCTCTTTTAGCAACGAAAACGGAGTAGCGGCTCCTTAGTTTACCGACACCGGTGTTCTGAGTCTCGTTTACTCTATATTCCTCGATCTTAACCGATATCTGGGCTCGTCCCCCTCCTCGGGCTCTTCTTCTGGACGAACAATGGGTTCGACACAATCTGACTGTACTTCCTTAGACAGCAGGGACAAGCCTATCCTGACATCAGCCAGGGTTCTTTCTGTTGGCGGGAGAGAGCGAGCGCAGTGTGTCTTGTGTATCCAATTACTTAATTTGTCCTCTTTTAACCACACTTTCACACAGTGCGTGGTTACTTCTGCAACTTTGTATGGACCTTCCCAGCGGGGATCAGTCCAACTGAATCTGGCTACTTTCCGTAGTACCCAGTCATCCACCTCCACTGGTGCACCCTCTCCTTCTTCTTCTCCAGAAAGGATCTCTGTCACCTGTTGAGAGATACTCATCACAGTATTATTCAACATTCTCATATAGTCAGATATTTCCACATGTTGGTACTGCAATGGGCTGACAGTGGTAGGCAAAGTGGTTGTTAACGGACAAGGCATCTTTCTTCCCGTTAATACCTCATGGGGGCTTATCCCTAACTTAGAGTTAGGACATGATCTTATCCCATACAGCACTATTGGCAGGGCTGCCACCCACGTCAGCTTCGTTTCAGCACAGACTTTAGCCAAACCTTCCTTTATGGTTCTGTTAGCTCTCTCAACTAGCCCTTGAGACTGAGGATGATAAACTGCCCCAAATTTATGCTTGATCCCGAACGTTTTCTCTATTTCTTGTAGTTCAGCGTTCGAGAAGTGTGAACCATTATCCGATCGTATGACTTCTGGAATTCCAAATCTGGGTATTAGTTCTCTGGTCAGCCATTTTACTACGTCTGCTGCTCTTTCTGATTTTGTGGGGATCGCCTCCACCCACCTAGAAAAAGGATCAACGCATACCAACAAATACCTCTTGCCCTCAACTCGATTCTTCATTCCCATGTCTGTGAAGTCAATTACCACCTCTTTCCATGGTGCCATAGGGGCAGGGAAACTTCCAAGTCCAGCCTTCAACGCCACCTTCGGGTTGTGTTTACAACAGATCTCACATGTTTGGACATAATATTTAGCTATGTCGGTCAGGAATGGATGCCACCATTGTTGGGAGATTAACGTTATCATACGTCCACTGGCACCATGTCCACGACTATGGGCCTCCTGGCACAACATATTCAACAACACCGCCGGGGCCACTACCTTCCCCTCGTGGCTTCTCCACAAACCTTCACTGCCTTTGCTGGCTCCCTTGTTCAGCCAGGCTTGCTTCTCTGTAGGTGCAGCTTGTTCTTGCAACTTCACGACATGTTGTAAGTCTAGCTTAGCACTTTCTGGATCCTCCGCTTTTTGCATCATTTGGTGTCTTGGCGTGTATCCTGCTGTGCGCTTAGCCGCCTGGTCTGCAGCATTATTACCTCTAGCTACCTCTGAGGCTTCTGTCTGATGTCCCTTGCATTTCATTACTGCTACTTGCTTTGGTTTCTTTAGTGCGTGGTATAAATCTAGCAGTGGCTGCAGGTGTTTGACAGGAGTCCCATTGCTAGTTACAAATCCTTTTCTCCTCCAGTGGCATAAATCAATGTGGACTGCTTGTAGAGTGTAGGCAGAGTCAGAATAGATATTCACTCTTTTGCCTTCAGCTGCTTTGCACGCTTCTGTCAGAGCCATTAACTCTGCGGTTTGTGCTGAGGCAGGCTGAGGAACTATGCCTGTTGTGATTGTTTCCCAGCTTCCCCTTGACCTGTGTACCACAGCATACGAAGCAACAAGTTCTCTGTCTAGCGTCTGGTGACTATGGCCGTCGCAGTAGTAAGTGTCATCAGGGTCAGTTAGCGGCTCCTTTTCTAGCGTCGCATGAAGTTTCATTTCCTGGTCTGTTAGTTCTGCACACACATGCTCCTCCCCATTTCCCATCTGAGTCGCCATGTTTCTGGTTGTAGCCTCATAATGTATGTGTGTTTTGGTCAATAGGCTTTGCAAAGCTGATTGTCTTGCCGTGGAAAGTGTGAACGCGTTTGACTGTAAGAACGCAACTATTCCATGCGATGTGTGCACAACAGTCTGGTGTTCCATTGTTATATGGGCCGTTTTAATCAACGCTCTTCCAATAGCAGCTACGTTTCTGACACACGAGGGATGCCCTATTTCCACGTTATCCAGCTTACCACTATAGTACATCAAAACCTTACGATCTGTGTTACCCTCCCCCTTTTGAAACAGAACGGAATTCACAAATCCGTTCTTTTCATCAACATCTAGATGGAAGGGTTTCGAGTAATCAGGGGGGTGCAATGTGGCTGCGCTGGCCATGGCCTGCTTGGTGGCAATAAATGCAGCCTCCGCCTCCCGGGTCCACACCAAAGGCTTTGAGTAGTTTTTATAGCCTGCACCCAATATCAACGCCCTCAAGGGGGCCACCTGCACCGAGAAATCAGGTATAAAATTCTTGCTCCATGTCACAAGTCCTAAGAATTTCATCATTTCTCTAACCGTCGTGGGCCGAGGATGTTGCAAAATGGACGACTTCTGTGTGTCAGTCATAGCTTGCCCTGATGGTGACACAATTCTCCCCAGAAAAGTCACCCTCTGTCTCCCAATCTGCAATTTTGATTTAGACACTTTGAAGCCGTTTCCCTGTAACCACCGCAGAACCGTTCTGGTAGCGGACATAATCGTTTCTGAGCTAGTCCCTGCTAGCAGAATGTCGTCCACATATTGTAGTAAAACAACTCCTTCTGGTAGTTCCAACTCGGCCAAAATGGTCTTCAGAACATGGTTAAAAATTGATGGTGAGTCCACATAACCCTGTGGTAACCGCGTATATGTATATTGGCGCCCCTTATACGTAAACGCAAACGTTTGTCTCGAGCTCACAGCTAGAGGGACACAGAAAAAAGCATTCGCCAGGTCAATGCAGGTGAACCATCTTTTATCAGGGCCTATTGCATTTAACATTGTATAAGGATTCGGGGTGTCATAGTGAGTTGGTACTACAACTTTGTTGACGAGCCTCAAATCATGCACCATTCTATAGTCAGGCTTTCCGGGTTTAGGGACCGGGTTAATCGGGGTATTCCAGGGGGACTCCGTCCTCTCCAATACACCTGCCTGCAGCAATCCTTCAATTGTTTTTTCTATCCCTGCGATTTGTTCCTCCCTTAAGGGGTACTGAGGACGGTAAATTGGGACCGTTCCGGTTTTTAATTCAATTACCACTGGGGCCATCGGAATCAATCCCACATCAGCTCCCCCTTTTGTCCAAAATGTATCAGGAAAATCATCTAGCATGAGCTGTGTGTTCTCATGGTCAGTATTTTCCCTACCATGTGTGCGGCTTAGCAGGTGTTTCTCTGGTATAAGTTTTACTTCTGAGGTATGTGCAATACGGTACATGTCATTAGCCTGAGAGTAATGTAAGTTAACATTTTGAGTGGGCACCCAGTCCGTGGCATCAACCCCCGCTTTAACCATCGGCCCCATGTTCTTAGCTTCTCCTCCGCTTTGGATGAGCAAGGTGATGTGAGGAGCAGAGGTCTCTTGTAGCGCATATAGAACTTGTAACTCGGAGGTTAGTTCCACCGCAGCTGCCACACCTTGTTTCCCCACATAGATCTCTCGGACCTTAACAGCAGGATGTCCATGGACCTCGCTTTCAAACTCAAGTCCACTCCACAGGGTGTCATAGTTCTCATCAGGAGACAGCGAATAGTTCATCGTGCAATGAGGAGGATCCGCAGGTGGTTCAGTCGGGTGTAATACCTTGAACCATGGGCCCCAACGGCGGACAGTCTCATGCAGAACAGTTCGATCATAGTCCTCCACTCTCCCCCACCAGACCTCTGCTTCGTCATTCAGCGTCTGTTGAACTTCAGCTTGCAGCAACTGGTGGCCATAAGAGTGGGGTGTGGCACATCGTTGCTGTGTCCCATCCGGGAATGTTACAGTGATACATCCCTTCGTCATTTGCATAATGATATTTTGGGAACACAAAATGTCTCTTCCCACCAGGTTAATCGGGCAGGCAGTGGAAACCAAAAAGGATTGGTCAAAACAGAGCGATTTCCATTTACATGGGACTCGAATAGAAAGTGGCCACTCCTCTGATTGACCCGAGAATCCGATAACTGGCACAGTATTCCTTGATGGTGGCAGTGGCGTGTTTATTGTGGAATACCTAGCACCTGAGTCCAGCATACATCTGTAATCTCTTCCGTTGATTGTCAGAGTCACCATGGGTTCTGGAAACAGGTTACCGTCAGCCGTCGGATCTGGGCACCCCTATGGCATTTGCTGATGACCTGGGGCCTGATGCCGCAGGCTATTACCCTGTTGTAGTGTATGTGGTGCTTGTGGTGGATAGATATCGTAAGGGTATTGAGCTGGGTTGGACTGAGGCCTCTGACCCTGAGGTGGATGGGGGCATGCGTCGGACCAATGTCCAAGCTGCCCACAGCTGAAACAAGTATTCTGTCGTTGTCTAAACTGCCCTCCATTGTTTGGAACTCGGCCACGATTTCCCCCTCCCCACTGTCTTTTCGGTTGCCTGAAGCCACCGTACAGTGGGGCCCCCATCATGTGTTGTGGTTGCGGGGCATAAGGTTGGGGGTAGTAAGCCTGTGGAGGAGTGTACGCGGCCTGTTGTGGTTGCTGGCAGGCTGGCGCACATGGGAAGGGAGGGGGGTCTGGATAAGGGTCATATTGAGGTGGCCCTTCCCCCTGAGATGGCGCTGTTGTTTGGGTCATCTGTTTGGCTTCACTCTTGCCCTGGTTCAACTTCTCTCTGCTTTCCTTCAGCTGTGCTTTCGCCAATTGTAACTGAATATTGTTTAATTCACCCTTTTCCTTATCATATTTTTCTTTGCTCCGGTCCACATAGTGTTTAATCTGTGAGGACCAAGCATCAAAATTCATGTCAGACAACCCCACTATTCCTCTTAGTTGGGTCTTCATTGTCTCCGAGACAGATGACTCTATGGCGCCGCGAAGAAGAAGCTCGGTTCTGTGATCATCCATGACACCTTCCCCTAACTTGTTGTCCCATAATTCTCTGACTCTCCTTAAATAACTATTTCCACCCTCACCGTCGTGTGGGGGAACATAAGTGAGTTCTGTGGTAGCCACCTTCACAGGATATTGGAGTCTGAGCTTTGGCCAGAGCACTGACACCCAATTTGCCAGAGGCTCCCCGTCAGGGAGGTCAGAGGTCCCGGCTTCCCCCTCTAACTTCTGGAGGTCAGCTAGTGAGGCACACGCCACAAAAAGTCTTCTAAGATCCCCCAAACCGGGAACACTACCCGCACACTGAGCAAGGAACCCACGAATCCACGCTGCACCACCCTTCTCTATTTTAGGTAATGCGAGCTTCATCATGCTTAGGTCTGACAATGCGAGTGGCGCATATGTCGTTTTTTTCACTTCCGTCTCTACAAATAGCCGTTAACAGTGGTAGTTGATGAGAGGCCGGAGCATCCCGTCTGATTTTTGACTTAGGTTTCAAATCATTACATTGATGCACATTCGCTCTGGCTGCATTCCCCTGATAATATCTGTTCCTATTACCTCTTAACCCCCCTGTCTCATGGCGCTCCATCGGAGTAGATGACTGTGGTTTTTGTGATTCTAGCTCTGCTCCATGCTCCTGAAATTCCTCGTCCCAATCATCTGCAGGGCCAGGCTCATCTTCCTCTGACTCAACCTGCCTCCCCCGCTCATCCTGTCCACGCCGGGTGATTGATTGCCGCTCTGCCCTTGCTATGACGTCTAACAAAGTCTCTTCTCCTGCAACTCTTCTTCCCCCTACATTAAATGAGGTCATAGGTCTGTGCTCGGGTTGCCGCTTCTTTACGACTGTCGAGTGACTCTGTGGTGTGTTAGGATTACTCCAATCGACAGACTCCAGCTGGGGCCTGTCCTCCAAATATTGTACCGTCTCTGAGAGAAAAGCAGAAACCTTCTCCACCCCATCATTCTCTTCATGTGGATATGGAGTTACCTGTAACAACCCTTTTTGAACTACCAAAACTTGAGATTCTCCTGGATTAGTAGCTTTGCCTTGCCTCAGTGGCATCTGATGTGGTTCATTTAACAACCGATTAGCCTCCGCATATGGGCCTGTCGAGTAAGGAGGAGGCGCACTAGATTTACAACCGGTCTCATGCTCTTTCTCCTCTCCTACTTTGGCTTGCGGCAACTGCATTGCCGTCTTACTCACGAATACCGCATTTATTTCTCCCAGAAAAGTTCTACAGTCCACTAAGAACTCATCTGCCTTTTCTGCACTTTTCTTCTCTTTTCCACAAAATCTCCCTTTAACGGCAAGGAGCGCATGCGCTTGGTCTTTTCCTCTTATCGCCATCCTAAGATGGTCCTGCAGCTGCTCGCCTGTTGGTTGAGAATCTGTCTCCCTTCCAAACATTCCTCTTTCCTGCATCTGTGCAACCCACTTCACATATTTTTTTGTTACACATTTCCTATCTTTTTCTAGGGTTTTATCCATATGTCTCTTATAAGTCTTAAACAGGGCGAAACCCAGAGTGCCTTCTTTACACCTCTCCCATATCGTTATGGTTTCCTCCATTTTCATCACAGGTTATTTATTTATTCACACGTGGTTTTTGAACACAAGAGAAAGGACTCAATGCCCAATACTGTGAACCCAATCAAGAACCTTCTACTGTATTAGAGGAATACAGCGCTCGATTGTTGAGGCTTATAACACCAGTTCACTCGTATTGTTTTATTTCTCTCGTATTTATACCACCATCATTTAACTATGATTTTCCCTTTTACCCTTTAATACATATCCCCACAGATGTGTAATCCGGTCAAACACTTTTCACTGTCGGATTCTCAGTCCTTTTTCAAGTCCTGATACGCACAGCTTCCAGGTTCGGTAAAACACCAGGAGTTACACCAACCACCCACACATTTCCCAGTATGAAAAACAACAAATCTTTCCCTGTGTCCTTATTTCTTCATCTAATATTCTAACCTGCCAGTCCAAGAATCACACGAGTAGGACTGCAGGACCAGAGGTATCTACGTACCACACGGATTGCAACTTGGATTTCTACAGACTAAGATTAACATAAATCCCTGCT